ATCCCATCCTTCTTCCACCCAACTGTGTCCCTTCCACCCATCCCATCCCAGAACTCCTCCCCCCACTTCCCACCCCTCCTTGGCATTGTCCTCCCTGGTGGTCACCTCACCGGTCAGGAAGAGGTTGGGCACAGGTGTCTGTGCCCTCATGGTGGCCAAAACCTCAACCTTCAACCTGGACATTCCATGATCCATTCCATAAAGTTCTCCACGAGGACTCCCAATGTAGTACTGGTTGGTCAAGGGTGTCCCACCAGAGATGTAGTCGATCTGAGGTGGGACAAGAGGACATGGAGAGCTCCAAGGACCTTCTGAGGTCACCTGTGCTCCATAAAAATGGTTTGGATTGGAGGAGATTCCTTGAAGATCATTGGGATGCTCAGGGTGGAGCTCAGGAGGGTTTTGAGGAACATCATGGGATGTTCTCCAGGGCTTGGAGCAACTTGGGCTCGAGGAATGTGTCCATATCCATGAGTTTTGAGGTCCTTCAACCCAACCCATGGTTCCACGATCATCCACATCGTGAGGAGACAACATCCATGGTTTGGTGTCATGTTGGACCTCATGTCCAGCAGATCCAACTCCAGTGTTGGATAGGGAATGAGTCAAAGACCTGGAGAACCTCCAACCCCAAGTTCAGGACCTCCAACCCCAAGTTCAGGATCTCCAACCCCAAGTGCAGGACCTCCAACCCAAATTTCCTCACCTTGTCCTCAATGCCAGGGTAGAGCTTGAAGACAATCTCCATGATGGTGTCCACAAAGGTCTTCTTGAGGTCTTCATAGTCTTCTCCTCTTTTGTGGACCTGTTTGTCCTTCCACTCCTCAAACCACTCATACTTGGCAAAGCTCACGATGGCCAACGTGGACTTCCCTGTAGGAGGACATAACTGGATCATCTCCATCCAAGAATGTCCTCAAGGCTTTGAAGACCTTCAGCAGAACCTCCAAGACCACATCAACCTTCTTTGAAGTTTTCCCCATGGAGGTTTGAGGAGAAACTCAACGTTTGGAGGTCAGCAAACCCATGGAGAGTTTTGAAGCCCCTCAAGAACCTTCATGGTGGTCTTCAAGTCTTACCTGGATGTCTCATCTCCCAGGTGGGATCCTTGGCCGATGGAGAGGTGACAAAGAGGACAGGGATGTTCTTGGAAGCTTCTTCTCTGGAGGAAGCCAAGTAGAACTTCATCCTGGAGCAACATGGAAAGGTTGAGGTTGGGTTTGGTGATCTCCATGACCTGAGTCATCACCACTCAGGACTTCATCTCCTCAAGGAAGGTCATCCAAACCTACATCCCATCCAGGTCTGGCCCTGGGTAGATGAAGTAGTTGGTGGCCTTGAGTCCCAACTCCTCCTTGGAGCCCTTGAGGCCAACGAAGACGCTGAGACATCCTTGGCCATGGGTGGCCAAGCTGAGCTGGGATTGGATCTCTGGCATGACAAAGACAAAGGGAATTTGGGGTGGGATGAAGATCTTCTGGGAAGCTTGAGGAGACGTAGGAGTGGTGGCTCCAAGGGGTGAGTTCTCACCCAACTTTGGGCCTTCTCATCCATCCAAATCATCTTCCACCCAACCACGTCTTGACTTCTCCCCCAACTCTGAACCTTCTCATCCATCCAAATCATCTTCCACCCAACCACGTCTTGACTTCTCCCCCAACTCTGAACCTTCCCATCCATCCAAATCATCTTCTACCACCCAACTGTGTCTTGTCCACCCAACTCAGCCCCTTCCACCCAAAGGAGAAGACCTTCTGCTGCTCTGGATTGCTGAGGAGGTCTGGGAGTGTCCTCACCTGGCAGAGCTCTCGCCGGCGCCGGCAGAAGCTTCTCATAGGTGTTGAAGATTCCAGCGTCGGAGATGACCACGGGGGCAAAGATGTCCACCAGCTCCTGCCCCTTCCTCACACTCACACCTGCCAAGGAATCGTGGACACAGGGATGGAAGAGCTTCAGATGAGGTTAAGGGTTGGGATGGAGTTTGGAGATCATCTAGGCACAACTCGGTCCTGTCCAGCCTGGCCATGATGAATGAGATCATGAGAGACTGAAGAGCATCAAAGTTGGAAGAGAACTTGAGGATCATCAAGGTTGGGAAAGACCTTGAAGATCATTAAAGGCTGGAAGAGACATTGAAGACCATCAAGATTTGGAGAGACCTTGAAGATCATGAAGGCTGAGAGAGACCTTGAGGACCATCAAGGTTGGGAGAAACCTTGAAGATCATAAAGGCTGAGAGAAACCTTGAGGACCATAAAGGTTGGGAGAGACCTTGAAGACCATCAAGGTTTGGAGAAACCTTGAAGCCCATCAAGGTTGGAATAGACCCTGAAGACCATCAAGTCCAACCCTCCAGGAGAAGAAGCCTCATGTCCTCATCCCACTCACCACAAGCTCTTCCCTGAGGGTCCAGGAGGATCTTCTCCACTGGAGCTCTCCCAAAGACATTTCCTCCAGTTCTCCTGATGACCTTGATGGTGTGGAAAGCAATTTCTCCAGGGCCACCACTAGGGTACCAAGCTCCTTGAAGAAAATGGTTCACCAAGATGCTGTGCATGGAGAAACTGGCCTTGGAGGGGTGGACACCTGTGGACAAGGTGGACAATGTCACTTTGAGTCCATCCTGGCTTTGGGCTTGGTCCTAAGGGACACCTTGGAGATGGTTTTGGCATGAGGAACCTCCTGGAGATGACCTTGGGAGGAAGAAGGAATGAGGAACGTGGAGAACGTTGAGTGGATGTTCCAACCTTGTGGTCACCAACTCAACCAAGTCATGGTGGACCATGGGATGGGTGAAGAAGGCTCAGAGCTCATGGTGGGATGACATTCCCTTGTCCCATTGGGAAGGGGAAGGACATGGAGATGAACCCCAAGATCATGTGGACAACCATCAGAGATCCACCACACACAATTCTCCCCCAATCCCAAGACCAAGAGGAGTTTCCTCATAGTTTCTAAGAAGGTTTGAGGTCACCTTGGAGACACCTGGTCACCTACCATAGGTGGGGAAGAGGTAGCTGAGGACAGCTCGGAGCTCAGGGTTGGTGGTGAGACCTTCCACCACCTCCTGGAGGCTGTGAGAGGCCAAGCTGGAGAAGGAGAAGAGACGTGGGAGGAGCCCAGAGAGACACAGCAGCTTGGAGATCACCTTGGGCAACATCTTCAGCACCCCAAGGAGGAGAATTCCACGACTCGCACTCTGTGGGGACAACCCTGAGCTCAGCAGGTCCATGGGGACATCCACAGCCAAGCCCTGATGGAGCTCCTGGCTCCAACCTCATCCCAACCCTCTGAGA